GCTGCTCTTCTGGCTAAGGGGAGCATGACTGGGGGGTGAAGATCCAGGGTCTGGAATTGAGATTCAATCTGTCACTGACCAACCACTAGCCAAGACCTTGTGCACCTCGCATAGCTTCTCTGAATCTCAGTTTCCTCTTCTTTTTATTTTATTTTTAAATGTTTGCTATAGGGTGTGTGTGTTGACCAGAGAGACAAAGAGAGAGAGAAAACCCCTCCCTCCCCCCGAGGGGCTGGCCACTCCACAATCCCTCCTCCTCCGTTCTCTTCTCAGGATTTTGGGCACGCATACACACTTGCCTGGTGTGTTCCTCAAGCCGAGTCTGGGACTTGAACCACAGTCAGACAGATGGGATCCAGTCACCTCAATCACCATGCCATCAGCTGGCCCCAGTTTCCTCTTCTATAAAATAGGACTGATGATTCAACTCATCACGTGGGGTAGTTGTAAGAATGACATGCAAGGTGCATGTTCGATGTTTTTTTATTTTTAGAGATTTTTGATAAAGAGTCCGTGTACTCTCTGGAGAGACAGAGAGAGACAGTGAGAGGGAAGATCAGAAATCACCCTTCAGGGGGAATGACCACACCACAACCTCCTCTCCTCCATTCTCCTGTCTGGATTTTGGGCTTGCACACGCGCATGCCCGGTGTGAGTGTCAAGTCATCAGGTCCAGGGCTTGAACCCTGGTCAGCCATGTGGGAGTCCAGCACTGAAACTACTGGCTCCCATTCAGTGTTTAACAGAGCGTGAAGCTAAGAGTCAATGTTGACGGTAAAAAGTTAAGTAGTAGATTCTGAGCACCTCCCACGCGCCTGGACTTAGGCCTCTCGCTCAGATGCCCAGTAGGTTTCTAATGATGGTGCGACCCGGCCTCTGCGCTGCCCAGCTGATACGTGGAAATGCCTTGTGAGCCACGGAGAGGGAGGAGGCATCCCAGTGGGCGTCACTGCTGCCGCTGCTCGGGTCCCCACTCCTTGGGAGCTGATACGGGGGCCCGCGGGACGTGGCTGGGCAGCAGCTGGACACGGAGACAAGGAGTGCAGCTCAGGCGAGGCCACGCCCACATGTGGCTTGAGCTCTGGACCCAGGACATGGCCCTCAGCAGCATATGGTTCTACTCAGCCCTCAGGAGGAAGCCAGGGCCCACAGCGGGCCCTCTGCTGTTGGAGGGACGGTCAGCCCTGAGTGTCAGGGTTCTCGCATAGGCACTGGTTTCAAGGAAGGCAAGACGGGCTGCAACCCTGGAGGTCTCAGAAGTGGCGTATGGGGTAAAGGAGGAACATTTGTTCCTGGCCTCCTGCTAGTGGGCCTTTCACCAGGAGTTTCATTTCTTTTCTTTTTGAGAGGTTTTTGCTATAGGGCGCATGCGCTCGACAGAAAGACAGAGAGAGACAGAGAGACAGAAAGCGAGAAATCACCCCCCCAGGAGGAATGGCCACATTGCAATCCCTTCTCTTCATTCTCCTCTTGGGATCTTGGGCACGCATGCACACGCGCCTGGTGTGAGTTTAAGTGACCGGGTCTGGGACTCGAACCACCGTCGACGACATGGGAGTCCAGCGACATAACCATTATGCTAACTGCTGCTCCCATGATTCTAACACACATTTGTATGTGGGTCCCCATGATGTGGGGAGCTCTCACCCTTGTCTCACCGACAGGGAGCCCAAGGCTGAGAGAGACTGAGCAGCCCAGCCAGAGTTCCATGGTGCTGAATGTCCTCTGTGTCCCGGCATTGTTCCCGCCTCACCTCTTCTTGGACCTGATGAAAAGGGAGGACAGGGACCAGCAGATGGCGTAATGGCCACATCGCTGGACTCCCACATAGTCGGCCATGGTTTGAGTCCTGGACCTGGCGGCTTAAAACTCACGCATGGGTGCCCAAGATCCTGAGAGGAGAATGGAGAAGGCGGGGTTGTGGGG